ATAACTAAATCTTGTTTAAACTTTATTTTCATAGTACCAAATATGGATTATCAATTTTTTTATATCATCTTATGTAATATAAACATTTTTTAATATTGTTTTTATATATTTGATAATTATCTTTTTGAAATGAAAAAAAGAATAAAAGGGTGTTTGGATCGTTAAATTACGTGGTATCCTCAGTGTATCAAAATATTTGAATTTAGATGAATTTAAATATTATGTTTTTGGTCGGTAGAACTTTGAATGTAATTAAAGTTCACCATCATTACAATTTTGTTTATTTCCAAAGAATTTAGAATATCTAAGCTAAATAAAATTATATCTTTATTTATCAAAGGACTTCTAGTCCAGCGGTGCCGGGTGTTGCCCTCCTTCTAGAGGTTGAGAGTTCAAGTCTCATCGGAGACATATGTGTATTAGGAGCAGTGTTGCAGAAATCGGCCGTCGATTATTTCTGCCGGCGATTAATTGATTGACGGCCTTGAACCGATTACGATTAGAGTGATTGGCGGAAATTGGTCAAACTCGGTCTTGGCGGTCCTCGGCGGTCATAGGAGGAAAATATTTAAAAAATTCAAAATTTTTAATTTTCACATATTTCACCAAAAATTTAAAATTTCCAATTTGTAAGTTTTCAAATTTTAAAATATTATACTAAAATTTTCAAAATTTCAAAATTTCAAATTTTCAAATACTTAATTTTTTTAGGAAATATTAATTTTTTAAATAACTTTATTAATAATTTAGGGTCTCCGATTAATCGCCGATTAATCCCCGCCAAGTCCGATTAATCGCTTATCATCAGTCGACCGCCGAGCTACCGTCGAACGATTTTTACAACCTTGATTAGGAGTAGTTTAGGATTAGTGTAAATTTGTCGTTCTAAAAAAATTATATCTTTATTTGGTTTAACAAAAGAAAAATGTTTTTATAAATAAACTATATAAATAAATTACATCAAATTTACCATCACTTACATCGAATTTGTCATATGTTTGTTTGATATATAAACATAGATCATAGACAATTTTTTTGATAAATGAATCTCCTAATAACATCTATCATAAAACAGACCACATCACTTTATTTCAAGTTATACTAACCACTAACTGAAAAATCATACATGCTTCTTCAAGAATCCCAACATAATCTCACCATCATTTAATTTTTTTTATTAATCAATACATCACAAACCTACAATCTTGTCTATTGCTTCTTTATCTACGTATTCTCTTTATGTTTTGTATGTGATTTGTTATTAGTGTATGATTTATAGTCTTGTGTTTGTATTCTTATTTGGCCCTTTTGTATTTGGCCCATTTTTGATGTAATCGTGTATATATATATCTCAATCAATGAAATGTGATTTTCATGAGAAATACCAAGATTTCATGGTATCAGAGCTGTAAGAACATCCGATGGTCTGTTTCTGTCTCAACAAAAATATGCCAATGAGATTCTTGAACGTGCGTCTATGCTTAACTGCAAACCTGCCCGAACCCCGACTGATTTGTCTGCTAAATTTGATGGGTTTGGGCCTCCTGTTGCTGACCCCACTTTATATCGTAGTCTTGCAGGTGCTTTGCAGTATCTTACATTTACCAGACCTGACATTGCATATGCTGTTCAACAAATATGTCTATACATGCATGATCCCACGGAACCGCATTTTACTGCTCTGAAACGCATCTTGCGTTATATTCAATGATCCATCGATCATGGCCTTCAACTATTTACATCTCCTAATCGTGATCTTGTGGCGTATTCGGATGCTGACTGGGCAGGTTGCCCAGTTACTAGGAGATCCACCTCGGGTTATTGTGTTTTCTTGGGTCACAATCTTTTGTCCTGGTCTTCGAAACGACAAAACACTATTTCACGCTCCAGTGCTGAAGCCGAATATCGGGGAGTCGCTAATGCAGTTGCAGAGACTTGTTGGATTCGTAATTTACTGTCAGAGCTTCATTACTCTCCTCACCGGGCTACTCTTGTTTAGTGTGATAATGTTAGTGTCGTTTACATGTCGTCCAATCCTGTTCATCATCAAAGAACTAAGCATATTGAGATTGATCTTCATTTTGTTCGCGACAAAGTTGCCACGGGCCAGGTTCGTGTTCTTCATGTTCCGTCTTCGTCTCAGTATGCCGATATTTTGACCAAGAGTCTCCCCTCACATTTATTTCTTGATTTTCGATCCAGCTTAAACGTACGGTCTTCTCCTCCCGTTCTCACTGCGGGGGGCTATTAGTGTATGATTTATAGTCTTGTGTTTGTATTCTTATTTGGCCCTTTTGTATTAGACCCATTTTGATGTAATCGTGTATATATATATATCTCAATCAATGAAAAGTGATTTTCATGAGAAATACCAAGATTTCATTTGTTGCCTTTTATACAAGTTAAACATATTTTTAACTTTGTTTTGAGAAATTAAATTGCTTCCTACCTTTTATGCCTACAAATATTCCTACCCATTAAAATTATGACATGTGTCACCATTCCATATTTACTTAACTATCTCATTAAGAGTATATTTGGAATATATCAAATAAAATTAAATTTAATGGTGAAATGATAACACAAGTCATAATGTTAGTGGGTAGGAATATTTGTAGGCATAAAAGGTAGGAGACAATTTAATTTCTCCTTTGTTTTTATACTATTTGGTAATCATTATTTAGAAAATAGAAAAAGAATAAGAGGGCGTTTGCATTGTTCAATTATTTGTGTGGTATTTTGCATGTATCAAAAGATTCGAATTTAAATGCGTTTAAATATTATTATGTTTTTGGTTGGTAAAAGTTTGAACATAATTAAAGTTTACTCTCGTTACAATTTTGTTAATTTGCAAAGGATTTAGATTATTTAGGCTAAATAACATAAATACATTTTTTTTTGGTTTATCAATAGAAAAATGTTTTATAAATAAACTATAAAAATAAATTACATCAAATTTACCATGCCTTACATCGAAATTTTCATATGTTTTGTTTGCTATAGAAACCACATATGATCATAGAAAAATCTTTTTGATAAATCAATATCCTTAGATAATATCTATCGTAAAATAAGTCATATCATTTTATTTCATGTTATACCAACCATTAAGGAAAAGATCATACATGCTTTCTTAATAAAACCAATATAATCTCACTATCTTTCAATCCTTTTTGTATTAATCAACATTTTAAAAACCTTCAAACTTGTTGATCTATTGTTTTTTTATCTTCATATTCTCTTTAATTTTTGTATATGATTTATGTGTATGTTACTAAAATGATTGACCCTTTTTATATATAGTAGTAACATATGTGTAAGTAGGAATACAAAAAATTATTGAATTTTATAACTATAATAGTTAGGGCTGTAAACGAACCGAACGAACACGAACAAAGGCTTGTTCATGTTTGTTCGTTTAAGTTAGCCGAACAATCGAACGAACACGAACGGATAAACGAACGAAGTTTTCTTGTTCATGTTCGTTCGTTTAACAAATTGTCTTGTTCATGTTCGTTCGTTTATGTTCGTGAACATGCTAAACGAACATAAACGAACAAAGATAAACAAACACAATTGAACATATATAAACATAAACGAACTATAATATAGTAATGTAATAACAAAAACAATTGAAAATATATGAACATAAAAACCTTAAGCGAACGAACATAAACGAACGTAAACGAACAACATAAACAAACGTTCACGAACGTAAATAAACGAACGAGACCATTGTTCATGTTCGTTCGTTTAACTAAACGAACAAGAATTTGTGTTCATGTTCGTTCATTTATTAAATAAACGAACATAAAAGAACTTCCCGCCGAACAGTTCACGAACGGTTCGCCGAACGTTCAGTTCGTTTACAGCCCTAATAATAGTAATTGTTATTAATTTAAGAAATATGAAATGAAATAGGTTTTAAAACAATATGTTGATTTGAAATAATAATTTATCTTTATTTAAATTATCTATTTTATAGTATAAAATAAATATAGATAGATGTGCTCATATTAAACACTTTAGAGCTTGATTTGGAGTATTGAGGACTTTCATAAGGCCAAGTTTGGTTAAAACTTGAACTTTGTTATAATATATTATTGATACGACCTTACTTTCTTTGAAACTAAAACTTTGCTTGATAGTTTCGGACCATTATTTATTCGAACTTTGAAACTTTTGGGATTTAAAACAAATGTTTTTAACTTTTAAAAATATTATTTTAAACTACCATAACAAGAACTAAATAGAAAAAAAAATGTCTACTATAATAAATGAAGATAATTTTGCCATATGTCAGTTTCTAATTAGTTTTAACACTTGTCATTTTGTGATATTTTTAAATAAATAATAGACAAAATTGCAAAAATGGTCCCTGTGGTATGCATTTTTTTAGGGTTTTGGTTCAAACCCTGACTTTTTTGGCTTCGTGGTCCTTTTGACCATGTTTACTTGTGATTTTGGTCCTTTGGAAAACTGAAAAGACTTAAATGCCCTTTCTGATATACTTTTTATGTTTTTTCATTTTAATTTAAAGGAAAAAGAAAATAGTTAATTAATTTGGGCTCACATCTCTCTCTCTCTCTCTCTCTCTCTCTCTCTCTCTCTCTCTCTCTCTCTCTCTCTCCTCTGTTCTTCAATAGTATACCAGACCTAAAATTCAATCGTTCCTTCAAAGATCTTGCAAACAACATTCGTCAAAAAACTCAAATTCCAGTTTTAATCCAAATGGATTATCATCACCAATCAAGACTCTAGTGAAATTACACACTTCAACCTAAAGTAACTAATGTTAGTATCAAAATAGTGAAATTAGACACATCATCTAAAGAAATCAGAAACCAGTTCTTCATTTTCATTCTTCAATACAACTGTGGTAATCATACCGAATCATAACCACTTTAACTTAAAATCGAACCTCAAATCGAAAAACAAAAAATGAAAGCATAGTAAACACAGTCAGTTCTTCACAATAATATACCAACAACCTAACCCAATCAACTGGATTTCTTAGTGGTCATAAGATTAGCATGCTTGTTCTTCATCTTTCCGTTTGGGGACGACGACGATGATTTGTGCTCTCCTCCTCCAATCCTAGGGTAGTATCTCTTAATCACCTTCTCCTTCACAAATTTATTGTAGATGAAAGCAACTCCTCTGAACTGTGGCAACACCAGCCACGCCACCGCTATCAATTTCACATCATACCATATCGGTATCTGCTAACCATTAGTTTCTAGAAATCACGATGATCAAATCTTGAAATTAAATGGTTGTGTTTTATTCCAGTAGTCACCATTCAAGGACAGATACAAGAAGCATCTCCACGAGAGTAAGGAAGGAGTATAAGATCCAGTAAGAAAGCCATTGCTGATCATCTTCTTTTGAAGAAGATGAGGGTAGGGTTTTTTTTACTCTTCATTATTGACGAGAGAGATAGAGAGAGACGAGAGAGAGAGAGAGAGAGAGAGAGAGAGAGAGAGAGAGAGAGAGAGAGAGAGAAAGACGAGAGAGAGAGAGAGGCGATCTGCGATCATAAAGAAATAAGAAAGAAAAGAAATCGATCTATTGCAAGAGAAAAAGGAGGTGCGATTTTTCTTTCTGTGTGTGTGTGTGTGTGTGTGAGAGAGAGAGAGAGAGAGAGAGAGAGAGAGAGAGAGAGAGAAGGTGGGCCCTTCTTATTTTTTTAATTATTAAAATAAATAAATTAGTATTAGATTTAAGAAGAAATGAAAGAAAAATGAAAAATAAATACCTCAAGGGTATTACAGTCATTTCACTATTTAGAGGGACCAAAAACACATCAAAACTAGCTCAAAAGGACCATGAAACCAAAAAAGTCGGGGTTTGGACTAAAACCCAAAAAAATGCATAACATAGGGATCATTTCTGCAATTTTATCTAAATAATATCCACATATCAATTTATTATTTTTTTTCAATTTTTAAAATTAAAAAACCACATAATTTTATACTTATATATGTAAAGTATCAAATGTAATAAATATTATAATAAATCGCAATTTATAATTTTTTTCATTCCTTATTCCAAAATTTTATTTAAAAAATATTTATTATTTACATTTTAATATTTTATTTTTTTTAATCAACCCGTGTAATACACGGGTTTTACACCTAGTTTTATTGAATATAAACGGGAAAGACATAAATAGAAAAAAAAAAAAAATCTAAATTGCAACATAACCAACAACTCTAGCCATCTGGTCAAATTTAGTCGAATAAACCTCAACCTCTATCAATTTGTTTTTCTGCAAGTTAATTTTCGATCCACAAACAAAATAAAAGCACCTGAAAATTTTCTATAATGTTTTTAGCATTATCAACAGACCACTCTACTAGAAATGTAAAGTCATCAACATAAACATAAAAAAAGTGGAACATGCTCCATCCCTTGTTACCTATTTTCACAAAAATCAAAGCATTATGATTAATTATTTCTGTTAACCCAACATTTAACCCCTCCATGATAACACGATAATGATGAACAAAAAATAGACGAGATCTCCCAACCTTTATCTCCCCCATTTTTATAGGAAACTCATCAGGTGGAGTTTCATTCATCAAGATCTAAGTCACAGACGAAAAAAAAAAAATCCAAATCCATCCTCTCAACTTCACCCCAAAATTTATCTTTCAAAGAATCTCACCAAATTAATCTAGAGAATCAATGAACTTTTTCAGAATACGCATAGATATTTCTTTTATGTTTCTTTTATCAACCAATAGAGTAAGGTTATCTAGTCTATATGGAATTAGACGATTTGCACAAACCATTTACATTTATGGTATAAGATGTCGATATCATAATATATACCACATATTCCATTGTCTTTTTTCCATTAATTCTTTATTTGCAATGTGGAGCCTTTACCTTTTGTACCTTTTGTTATCTTATGGAATAAGAATCTGAAGTGTACATCTTTGGCTCATCAACCAAGGTAAGGTACCAAACAAATAGTATTATTTACATAAGTACTTATAATACTTATATTTACGGAATCTTTTTATAATTGATCCATATAACATAATTGTGTATACCAATAAATAGAAAAATATATGTGTTATAATTTTAACAAATTATCTTATCTTTTCCATTTGAAATGTATGGCAATAATCATATATTTTTATGAGTTTTGTTTTTGAGAAAGCTACTTTATGACTTACCTATAAAGTTGAGGGTACTAAAATGAAAATACTCAATCAAATAAATATCCCCAATAATGCTTAAAATGCTCAAAATCTCTCCGCGGCTATAAAACGCGTCCACTCCAAAGAAAACGACCGCCAAACCCTCCTTTCCTCCGCCGTTCGCCGTCGCCGGAACCGTGATAGAAAACTTCATCTTAGAAAGAGAAGCTCGGTTTTGCATTAATTCAGAGAGAAACCATGTACATACATACAAATATACGTATATTTGTGACTAGATAGAGAGAATTTGGTCAGTTAATTTATCTTATGGCATGGTTGAGTTGGAGGATTGAAAACAAAGGAGACGGAGTCGTTTTATTGACTCCGAAATGAAGGTTTCCCGATCCTTTAGTCGATGTCTTCTTCTGCTTTTGCTCCTTTTTGTTCAAAAAGGTAAGAATTTGCTTATTTTTATACTGATTTGTACTTGAAATTTGAAACCTAGTTAACTGATCGTACTAAGTAATCGTAATTTTTTTGGTTCAGTCGACATGATTCTATCGATCGATCATGAGTTTTATTGCGTATTACGTCGTCTTTTTCCGTAATTGTAATCTTGTTTGACACGCATATAGCAACGCTCCTTGAATTTGTGTATCTGGACTCAGTTTTAATTCGATCTCAAAGCAAATCAAGCGTGAATTCACCTCTTCTTAGTGTTTTAGCAGTTATAGTGTTCTAATTACCATTCTTCTAAAACGTTCTTCACGAATTTAGGTTTAATTTGAAGTTATATCTTCATTCAAGGAGTAGTAACAGTCAAAATCATAAATCCCCATTAATTGGGGGCAAAAATACTCGATTGATTGTGGTTAGAGTTCATTACTGTCAAAAGGATCACATCCTGATTTTCATTTGTGAAACTATTTGTTTGCATTAACTCCAAATTTGATATGCTATATATAACATTTGGGGAAAAAGTATATGATCATCAAATTCAATCTCTATGATTGTATTCATTGTGACTTTTGAGTTTTGAGTTTTGAGTACTTATTCCTTCTTATTTTCCCAGGGTATGTGACATCCAAACCATTCACAGGGACTTATGGTATAAACTATGGAAGAATCGCAGACAATATCCCTTCTCCTAATGAAGTTGTAAAGGCTTCTCAAAGCTGCTAAGATAAAGAACGTACGAATATACGATTATGATCACAGTGTTCTTGATGCATTCAAGGGTAGTGGTCTCGATTTAGTAATTGGACTCCCAAATGGAATGGTCAAAGACTTAAGCAATAATCCCGATCATGCCCTTACATGGGTCAAAGACAATGTTCAATCATACCTACCTTCAACACACATTGTTGGAATTGCAGTTGGAAATGAAGTTCTAGGAGGTGGTGATCTAGATCTTCAAACATCTCTATTTCCTGCAATCAAAAACATCTACAATGCAACACAAAAGTTAAACCTAGACTCCATAGTTCAAATCACAACAGCACATTCACAAGCTGTGTTTGGAACTTCATATCCTCCATCTTCATGTGTCTTCAAACAAGACGTTTCACAAAACATGAAGAAACTGTTGGAATTATTTTCACAAATGGGATCCCCTTTCTGTTTAAACGCATACCCTTTTTTAGCATACATGGGAAGCCCAGATCAGATTGATATAAACTATGCTCTTTTTAACCCAACTCAAGGCATATACGATGAGAAAACAGATCTTCATTACGACAACATGCTTGATGCTCAAATTGATGCAGCATATGCTGCACTTGAAGATGCAGGATTTGGGAAAATGGAGGTTGTTGTTACAGAAACAGGGTGGGCTTCTCATGGAGATGCAAATGAAGAAGCTGCAACTTTGGATAATGCAAGAACTTATAATTATAATTTGCGTAAAAGACTTGCTAAAAGGAAGGGGACGCCACGTAGGCCTAAAAGTATGTTGAAGGCGTATATTTTTGCTTTATTTAATGAGAATTCAAAACCGGGTCCCACCTCTGAAAGAAATTTTGGTTTGTATAAACCTGATGGAAGTATCACGTATGATATTGGGTTTCCAGCTCTCAAATCTTCTTCTTCGGTTTCTTCTCTTCTTTCAATCAAGGTATGTAACTTACTTTACTCTTTTATCAATATAGTTTATTCATGAGAAATATATTTTTTTTGTATATTATAGATAAATATTTAACTAAAAGGGGGTAGGTGAAAAATAATGAAAATAGGATTGCGTATGTCATTACTGACTCAACAGCTTTATTTTCTTCTATTTATTATATTATATTTCCTGTTTTCTATGTTCGCATGATATTATACGTGTTTCGTGGTCATCATTTTTGTTTTTCTTATATTATCAATTTTTTAATACAAATTTTAATTTTTATCAGGAAATTGGAGCTCAAAGTTGGCATTGGTCATATATCTCGGTTTTATCTTCGTGTGCGTCAATGTTGTTTTTATTTCTAAGATTGTGAAATATTTGTCATCACAAGATATTATTTAAGTTACAATGTATTTTATATTTACTTTTTTTTGAAGAAAAATGTTTTTAAGCTTAATGTTAGAGTTGATAATATATAGAATACATGCCACGTACACCAAATCGGGATCTTAATTGGTGGTGGTTAATGTTTTTTTTACAGTTTTGATCGTATGTCGTTTCTTCATATGCTTTTACTTGCTCTGAATATATGCATCAAAATTTGAGCTTTCATAGTGTTGTTTCTTTGTAACGTTAAGACAATTATCAGTGAAAGTGAGAAAGGTAAATCAATAAATACGTTGTTAAGTAATCTAGCATGGTGGAAATGTTATGTCACCTTATGTGACATTTGATAGGAAAAAAGGGACCATTGACAAAATTATATGACATGGAAAATTAGCTTTTGTGTCAGGTGAATAATACCTTTTGTGGTGATGAAATGATAGGATTAGGTGGAATTGTGACTTTTAGACTTTAGTTGTGCATGAAATTGATGTATTAAAAGTTTGGAATTGTGTGATCCGACCCAACAAATAATATGCGTTAGTGGAATATTTTATAAGGGATGCATTAGGTTAGAGTTATTACTCAAATAAAAACTTAATGTTAATATAAACAAAATTATAAAGAATAATTTATATATACGATTGGGTTGGGATCACTCGAACCAAAACTGATTTAGTTTCAACACAATGCGAACCAAAGACTATCTCAACTTTAAAAATTTAAACTTGCTTGATTTGGTTTTCCACTTTTATTGGTTATAACTCAAATATTGAACACCTCTCAACAAGTATTCTTTTTTCATTATATTTTGTATGTGTACTGTACTGACATACCTAATGGACCATACATGTGTATTGTATTTTCAAATGGATGTTGTTATGTTCGAAATTATTAAACCCGTTGAAAGAAGTTATTTTCTTATAAATTGATTTCTGTCATAAATTAGAATAAAGAGACAATTAGATGGAGTTTAGTGGCTTGTACAAGAGTGGACTAGACATGGGCTGAACTATAAGCTATACATATAATAAATACATACACTGACCCCCACTTAGTTGTAAGAGTAGGACCGATCCACATGTTTAAATTGGGTTGAAACTCAAATAATATCGTGGAAATCCCTCTAGTGAAGATATTGACATATTAAGAATTGGATGGGACGTGAAGGACTCCAATGTGTCTTGTGACCACTTTGTCACAAACAAAGTGATTGTAGACATTGATGTGCTTGGTCGTTGATGATGTTGATGTTGGACCGGGGTGGTAGAGAGATAGAAAACGTTGAACTTGTCATAATAGACACTAGTGGCTTTGGTACGCAAGAGTGAAGATCTCTAATAAGATTTGCCAACTAGCATGTCTCGACAAATGCATTAGCAACTTCATGATACTCGACTTCAGCACTAGAATGAAAAACTATGACTTGATGTTTTGATAACAATGTTAAGAGATTGTGGTCGATGAAAACAATATGTATGGTATTGATCTCATGGGTGGAGGACATTCGCCGAAATAGGTGATGAGACTAGAGATAATGAAACATAGATATGCAATCCATGGTCAAAAGTACAATTAATATATATCACAATATGTACCTCAAAGCATTGAAGCGGGACTCACGAGGGTTGTGCATTTTGAACCTGATCGATTCAACCACATAAGAAATGTATGGGTTTGTAAAAGTAGGTATGAAAGTGTGCTAACAAGGCTACGGTATAATATTAGATTGCCACCCTATAGGTAGGAGTCATTGAGCTTGGCCAAATTGTCGGCATGCTCGAGAATTTTTATTGCATATTTAGCTTACTTTAATTCTTAGAAAAAAAATAAAAATTTAGTGTCTTTTGTAATTTTTTTTTGTCAATTTCAACATACTACATTAACAGAAAGCAACCGATAATGTCATGTCAGCATGTCATATCACCAAAGATTGACACATCAACATGCCACATCAGCTAGTAACTGAGTTGACCGATCAAGTGGTCAACATTGCAAAAATTAAAAAAATTAATGAGTAAATTGTAACAAGAAATAGTACAGTGTCAAAATCATTTTTTTTAAACATAATGACTTTTGTGCAATGTACCTTTTATTTGAAGTTGATAAATAATATTTTTTTATCAAATAAATATTTATTATTTATTTTGGATCTTTAAGTCTTTTAGTGTGACATTTATTCTAGATCTTTTAATAATTTTAGTGTGTGACCTCATAGTTCCAACTTGATCATTTTACTGTGTAAGTTTCTTGTCTCCATAAATTATCCATCAACTTGTTTAATGTCCGATTACATTATTGTCTCTATTTTCCCTTTGTTATAATGTTATGGAAGCATGATGCATGGATTTAAACCATTTGGTTGCTTAACATAGGTTTTATTGGTCTGCGAAGTCCTACAAGATAAGACCAACATTCCATTTGGACAGTATGGAGAAAAAATCTCATTTTGACTATATATCATCTATATGAGTTTCATGTTATATATTATAGTAGCCTCTATAATTGTCATGTTTCATGTCATCATTTGACATACGTATACCACATTCATTTAGAGACCGACATAAATATCTTGACGAAAGCTAAAATAAATTAACATATTCTATTCAAGATTTACTCAGTGACACCAATCCATGAAGTGTAATATGGAAGTGCGTTAGTCTAACATTTAATCTCATTAATATATGTGAAATTTTGGATGTGCTTCTATATACATCAATCTCATGTATGTCTCCAAACCTTGACAATATAATTGCATATAATCATGGTCATAACCATAACAAACTAACAAAAATTTAGTACAAATCAAAGAAAAATAAAACATGCAAAATCAAAACACAATTTTTCTAGATGAAAAAATATTGCTCTTAGAATATTATAACTATTGAGCAGTGGAGTTTGGGAGTTTGATCTCAAGGGTAAAGTTTATAGAGTAAATATTCTACAAGGAGTTTGATCTCAAGGGTAAAGTTTATAGAGTAAATATTCTACAAAAAGCAAAGTCTAAGCTTCAACTAAGAGCGAAGATGTGGGGTGAAGATTAATGAAAGAGAAGGAGATTGCAAAGTGGGCGAACCGTTGAGATTGAAGTTATAGACTAATCATGAGCGAAGGTAAAGCTTCGAAGAGAAGCTAAGAATGTTAGAATGTGGGTGTTTCTGATTGCCTAGATTCATTGGGATTCGTGATGCACTTTCAGATTGAAATATTTCGATACTACAATCGGAAATTCAATAGGATAAAACTTAGTGATTTCTAGAACATAAAATAAAGAAAGTTATGATCTTATTGTCTACCAGATTCAAATGATAAAAAATGGGAAAATAAGCACTATCTGAAAACTAACAAAAATGGCGTTAAGGATTAAGTTCTTAATGAGATGTCTTAATGGGTAAAGTTGGAAACCTTATCCATTAAAGATTAAGTTCTTAATGAGAAAACATGGCATCCTGGTAGAAATTATGACGTAGCCAAGGAGGGCCCATGACGTGGTGGTATCATGTAGGTCGATTGTTTAGCTTGGACACGCCCATAACGCCGTGGTAACCGTTGACTTTTGAGCAATTTTGAATTTGGGTCAAACTTGGAGGTTTTGAGTTGTGGATTAAGGATTTATCTTAATTTGGTGTTAGTGGGTTCACGTGATTGATCAGTGCAAGGAGTAAGAGTGTTGTTGTGCTTCTCTGATTTTGCGATTCAGGTGAGTCTTCTCACTATGCCACATATGACATTGTATACCCTTTATATGGTAGGGTATTAGTACTGTTAGGTTACATGTATGCGAGTTGTATAGGATAATTCCTTGTTATGTATGTGCAATATAGGACACTTGGTGTCATCGGTGAATACTGCAATCCAAGCTTTCTTAAAGCCGCTTCCTCATTTTCATCCTATTTATTTTGAGCCTTTTTTCCTTTGTCCCTTGGTTGACTTCATGTTGATTCTGGATAACTTTTCGTCACTCTTTCGAAATCATCATTGAGGGGAGATTGGGGTTAGGAAGGTGGTTATTGTGAATGTGGTGATTGGGAAGGTTGAGTTTGAACATTTTGAAATTGGAATTACTAGAATTGTTTTGGTGTTTGGTAAAAGTTGGTTATTGGAAGTAGTTTTGTTAGTATGGTTGTTGGAAAAGAGGTGATTGTGGAATTGGTGAGTTTGTTGGAAGGAGCATATTCATGAAACCTCCCGGTGGTGATTCGAAATTTGGGTATTGGTGAGGTATTGTGTTGAGTATGAATGTGCCGGTGTGTGTGTGTGTGTATGTGTGTGTGTGGTGTTTGAAGTGTTTGAGGTGTTTGAATTTTGATCCATTTTTGAGATAGTAGTATAGAAAGAAAGAACTGAAAATATTGTGTGTTGTAGTATTGATTTAAATGCTATATATAGAGATTGGGTAGCCAGCTTCACGAAGCCTCACACATAGGAAAATGGTCAGAAGATCGTTGCTTTTCTCTTTCCCTTGTGATTGAATGTAGCCAGCTTCACGAAGCCTCACACATAGGAAATGAGTTGTAGTGTTAGTCAAAAAGCCGCACATGACTTTTGGAACCATGTCACGATACAAGTAGCTTAGGAAGGCATTCTGTATAGCCTAACTGGTAAGCTTCGCTCTTGGCTCTTCTCTCTCCCCTCTCATATTTGTGTTTATATTTCTCCCTCGTTTGCTTCTCTTCTCTTTTACCTCTCACATATGTCTTTCTATTTCCTTCATTGTAGTGATTTTTTTTATGATTATTTATTTTGTTAGAATATTTGTAATATTTGATTTTTTGAAGATAAATTACTTTTATGATTTAGGATCTCACACATTAACCAATGATTAATCTTCACTTAGAGCATCCACAATGATGAGTTGAATGAGGTGGCAAGTGTATGTGTCATTCAATGGATGAAACTATACCATAGTGACATAAAACATTGACATACAATGAATTTGGAGTTCAATGGCCATTGAACTCTTCAACGAGAAAAAAGAAAGTTTTTAATTCGTAAATATTTACTATAAACTATATTTTGTAACATTCTATTGAACTTTATAGAATTCAATGCATTATAGGAAAAAAATGATATAGTTGTATGGATTGTAGAAAGATGATGTGGCAATCCATTGAACTTTATGAAATTCAATGCATTCTGGATGTCTTTAGGTCAATTACAAAAACCCTAATC